CATGGTATGTCAAAGCGGTAAATTGCGTAAATTAAAGATTATTACGCTATTACAACATTTTATGGATGGGGGGAATACAAATTGTGAATGCGGATTTGCAATAATGTAAATCTAATTAAGCTATTACAACCAAATCAAATTTGTACAAATATTTAAATAAATAAAATACAATATTTAAATATGCAATATTATGTACATGCAAGAAAAAGATTTTTTTTGTTTTGTTTTTTATGTGAAAAGGAGTTTTAACCTAAACCTAATAACTTAAGAAAAGGAAATCCCTAATTTCTAATTAAAATAAAATAAATTTCTTATGTATTATTTTTATATATTTTTTGTATTAAAAATAATAAATAATACTTTATAAAAAATATTTAGTTTTTGTATGTCAAAATAAATATTTACAAGTATGAATAATAAAAAAAGGAATAAATTAGTTAAACTAAATCTATTATATTTACAAATTTATTTAAGAAAGAAAATATATAGTTTAATAAAAATATTTTTTCATGTGAAAATAAAATAAAATAAACAAAAATGCAAAATTGTCATATTTTATATTTTTCATGATTTTATATATTTAAGAAAATATTTAATAAACAAAAAGGAAAATAAAACAGATAAATAAAATATATGAAAATAGTTGGGCCAGGGGGTATCCTGAGAAATCAGGTGGTGTTATGTTAGAAAAAACGCTAGGCCCAATATTGAAGCCCATCCTGCAAAACAGCAAAAAAATGAAAATGGAAAAGTATGAAAAAACAAAAGGTAGCGCCAAGGTTCGAACCTATGACCTGGACCTTGCCAGGGTGCTACCTTGCCACTGGGGTGGCTATACATCCGTTGATTTATATGAAACAATAAAAACATAACACAAGAAATGTCCTTGCCTTGTACTTCATCTTCTACCTCAAGCTGGCCAGACCTCCTGTAACTCTTTCATCTCTCAACAAAAATGGAAATTGATAACATGAATGTTATAGCATTTTGTCCCACGATTCTAACCATGTGCATAACTAAAACTATAAGTCCAAAATTAAAGAGAATTTTAATGGCCCTAATTCTTAACCTAATTTTTTCAGGAACTTCAATCTCAAAATTCTCTCAACTCAAGCCAAATAAATGCAAGTTATAGATATGTACAGTTTCATAGCAATGATGTCTAAATTGTTTATTCATAAATCGTGGTCAATGGATGCCTGTATGAAGAGAAAAAAGTTGGAGTTTTTACCTCTTTTAGTTGAGATCTTGAATGGAGTTTGAGTGAGATTTATGAAGGCCTGAAGATTGCTTGAGCTTGCTTGAACCTCCCTGAGTGTGTTCCAATCCTTGCCTTGCTTTGGAAGTGCCTGAAACTCTCTATCCAAGTCAACCTGCAAGCTTGAAAAACAAAAATGGCAGATGGAGAAGGAGGTGTTACAGTGGAGGGATGGTGGTCTGGATCACTTAGATATGAAGTAGGTAAAGTGTTTGGATGATTAAAACTTGAAACGCACGAGCCAATTTGTGGATTGTTGTGCTTATGCCCAAACTGCAAGTTTTTGACAGGTTTTTGGTGATATGGAGTTTTGGAGTGTTTCATACCTTTAGCAATCGTCCTCTAAGTTGTATTATGTTTGTGTATTAGTATGGAGAAAGTTTCAAGTCAGCTTCTCAATAGATTTTCAGTTGTAGGCTTTTTTCATACTTTCTTACTTTTGAAGCAAAGTGAAGGGACAAGTCTTCACAGGCTTGTACTGGCCTGCTTAGAGTTGGTATAAGCTCTATACAAGTTGCTTTAGGTCTGTAGGACTTGTGTGTGCAGAGAAGACAGGTCCAATGCTCAAGAATTGGAAAGTTGCAAAAATGAAGCTTTTCCAAAATGGCAATGGCAACTTTGTGCCATTTATGGAATTAAAGCTTGGATAAAGACTTTTGGGCTTGGATTAAAGCTTTTTCAACTGAGTAAGCATTAAATTATGGAGTGAGAAACAAGCTTTGGACCTGTAAATCATGTATTAGGCAGCATAGGTTCAAATTTGAATTTTGTTCTTCATGAAATGGCTTGAATTCAAAGTGAGAAATTGCCAACTCCATCTCTTCGATTCTCTCTACTCAAAAATGATCTCAAGGATTTCTTGGACATTTTGGAAAGCTTGAAATGTGATATTTAATTCATCTTTGAAATGAATTTCAATATTCCTCTTGGAACTAGGTGAAACATTTCCATGAAGTTAGGTCAAAAACCTGCCTAAATTAGGGCAAAATTTCACTAAGTTATTTTAGTTCATGGGCATGTATTCACAAAATTATATCTTGAGATCCAAGCATCTTTAGGGGAAAATGTGTGAAGAAAAGTATTAGATTTCATGGAGATCTACAACTTTCATGTTGGTAATTTCCTTTGAATCATCTTGCATCATGGTGAAAAAATGGCTTAAAGTTGAGAAAAAATAAGAAATTTTCTATACTTAGAAAATTTTCTAAGTTAAGAAAATTTCAAATTTTAAAACTAAATCTTCAATCTTTGATTCCTTGATGAACAAGTTTTAAATTTTGACATGTTTTGATGAACTATGATCCTTGACACTTGATTTTGACCAAAAAGTCAAAGTTTGACTTTTCAGTATACAGTTGACTTTTGATCAGTTGACTACAAATTTCATCTGTCAATCCAATGAAATTGTAATTTTTTGAACCATGTCATTAGGTAAAGGTGATGTAAATAAAACCTTGTAATAATGATTTAAATCAATTGGTCATTTTCTAGGTCAAAAATCAGAAATTGCCCTTTCTCAGTCAAAACCCTAATTTTGACCATTTTACCCTTTTGATGATTTGATCAAATTTCTTGAGGAATTATGGTCCAAACTTGATCAAATGATACATATGAGTCTAAAATGTTGATGTGGATCAAAAATTATGAAGTTTGACTGTAAATTGGTCATGGTTGACTTTTTCCCCAATACAGTTGATTTTTAGGTCAACTGTCCAGTTGACTGATAAAAAATGTGGTTCAAGGCTTGAAACTTGTCATGAGTAATCTTAGGGGTCCATAATGATGTTTGAAAGTCATATGAAGCATTTATAGTCCAAAAATCCTTGTGCAATCTCAAACCCTAATTTTGGGTCATCAGTGCAAGATGAGATGTCTTGAGCTGACCAAACCCTAATCCGGTCTTGAGTCAAAGAGATCTTGTGAGAAAAGTCTTGATAAATAAGAGGGAAAATTTCGGGGTACAACACTTTTTGATCGGGTTTACCTTCTGTTAGCTTAGCTAACATTTTCGGTTAGGTTATGTTTTGATCATTTCCTTCCCTTGTTTAGGTTCTATTTTGATCAATTCCTTCTCTTTGGTTTATCCGTTTTGATCGGGTTTACCTTCTGTTAGCTTAGCTAATATTTTTGGTTAGGTTATGTTTTGATCATTTCCTTCCCTTGTTTAGGTTCTGTGTTGATCAGTTCCTTCTCTCTGATTTATCCATTTTGATCGGGTTTACCTTCTGTTAGCTTAGCTAACATTTTCGGTTAGGTTATGTTTTGATCATTTCCTTCCCTTGTTTAGGTTCTGTTTTGATCAGTTCCTTATCTCTGGTTTATCCATTTTGATCGGGTTTACCTTCTGTTAGCTTAGCTAACATTTTCGGTTAGGTTATGTTTTGATCCTTTCCTTCCCTTATTTAGGTTCTGTTTTGATCAGTTCCTTCTTTCTGGTTTATCCATTTTAATCGGGTTTACCTTCTGTTAGCTGAGCTAACATTTCCAGTCAGGTTATGTTTTGATCATCCTCTTGCCCATTTAGAGTCTGTTTTGAGCAGTCTCTTTCTTATATGTGTTCAGCTTTAACCAGACACGTTATTGTATTCCCAGTTCGCCTTCAATCGGTGTTCTTTTTCCAGGAGTCTATCTGCGGTTAGCATTTTGATATCTTTGGTTGAAGTCGTTGTATTAGATTTCTTCCTCCCTTGATATCTGGTCGAGATCACTTTGTTAGATCTCTTCCACTTCTGATAGTTTCATTTGAGCCTACTTTGTTAGGTCTCATCTATCTCTATTATCTTTAGGTAAAATCACTATGAGATCCCATCTATTCCCGACACCTTCAATTGAGTCCGCTTTGTTAGGTATCTTTCTTGTTAGATATCTCCGTTAGAGTCCACTGTAGTGGATCTTTTTCTTGAGTATTTAATTTGTGTCTTGTGTGTCTAATTTTGACCTGACATCCAAGAAATTTACCCAGATAACTACTGCAATCCAAAAAAGAAAAAAAATGCAAGTACAGAAAACCAAAAATATAATAATACCTGACTGGCTTCGGAGTGCAAATTTCTGGGTTCTCTTAGTATTTAATCTTCTTCCACCTTGAAGGTTCGAAAGGCTGGCGCCAATCTCACCTTCAGGTTGAAGGCGATTAAATAGGGGCAGCTGCTGCACCCCAAAATTTTCCCTCCTAATTTCTCTTATTCTGGTTTAGACCTTGCATTCATCTGCATCATTCCAGTAGGCCATGTGCATAGCATGCATTTTCATAAAAAAAAGTAGAGCACCTGAAGTTCAAAATATCAGCAGTTATGAAGCTAGGGTTTACAGCTGATTTGAGGTGTATGTGTTGAATAAGATTGATTATTCTGGTTCTTCTTGGTGTATAAGACTGTGGAATTAGGGTTTTGGTTCATGTTCAGTATTTCTTCTCCATCAGGCAACAAGGTTGTTATCTTCTGATGAACAACTGGTTGCAGGTTTTTCTTGTCAAGAATTCAAGGGCTGGACCTAGCATACATAGTCTTTGAATCAAGACGTCTCCTCATATAAGTGTGCTTATCATTTGATCAGGCTTAATGACTATGACATGGCATTCATCCACTCTTCAGTTAACCAATTCAGGTTTTGTTGAATCCTTGTTCAAAGGATCAATGGTTGTGAAGCTAGGATTTTCTTTTGGTTCGAGGTGTTTATCAAACAAGATTGATTATGTTGGTTCTTCTTTGTACATTGAATTGTGAATTTAGGGTTTTTATTCATGGTTATTGTGGATCTCTTCCTTATTAAGCTACAAGGATTTCTTCCTCAAGGTAAGAGACAAATCCATTTTCATCATAGCGCATCTCAAGAAAATTGTAGTTCTTATGAGTGGCAATTAAGCGTGTTAACTCATCAATTGGGGTTCATTGGATTTACATGTTAAGGCTATCTTGGTAGTTATTCCTCCCATGTCTCAAGTTCCATATTCATCTTTGAAGGATTCCTCAAGGTATTATTGTTCTCTCGAGTTGTTATTACTTGTAATGGAAGTTAAAGTTTCATGGGGAATTGAGGATTTGATTAGGGAAGTATCCATTCAAGTTTATTAAGGTGCAAGTGTCATAAGTATTTCCTGTAATTCAAGGTATAAGTAAATAAAAAGGTTATAAGGCATGGTCTCAAGATTAGTTAAGGTTCTCAAGCACATGTTTGTCAAGAGTTGATTCATGCTAGTATTGGAAGGAAGTTCATGTGGATTTCTTCACAAGTTAACTTGGACTTATGGTTTCAATTGAGTTTGAGGTGAATTAATCAAGCATGTAAATTGGAAGATCCATCCATGGTTGATCTCTTGAAATTCAAGCTACCAAGGCGAAATAATAAAACATTTCAAATGTTATTCAAGGCATGAGGTCACTTTCAATTTGTGGAAGATTCAAGTTCCAATTGATTCTATTCAAAATTTCCAGCAAAGTTCTTCATCCAATTTCAATTCAAAGTTCCATTAACCATTTCAAAACCTCTTCATTCCATATTCAACAAAGATTCCAACAAGTTCGTTCATTTATAAATTTATCGAGTTCATTCAAATAATCAAACATCGTTTAAGGTTCTAAACAAGGTTCTTCAAATCCTATTCAAAAGACATATGAATCCATTCAAGTGCATTTCGTTCGCTCGAGTTCAAATACAAGTTCAAGGTATCATGTAGATTATTACAAAGTCATGCTTAAACCAACTTATTATCATTCAATATTTGAAATAGTTTAAAGATTGGAAAAGAAAAGAAGTTCAGACTAGAAGGTCAAGATGGAACAAATTTACTTACAAGGTTTATCCTATTACAAGTACATGGTGCCATTACATGCTTGAAGTATACAAAAAAAAATTACAAGGCATTTGGTTCTATGTTTCTAAGCCTAAATCTCTAAATTATTAAGGCCACAACTCCGTGCTTTCACCAAACTGTGCATCTGCTGCTTCTTACCAGTCTTTATCAGCATACCTTGGCTTCAATGGAAGGAAACCCGATGGCCTGGCTAACACTTTTGTTTCTATTGAAGAGTTTCCTGAGGCAGATGAAAATATCATGATTGAAGAAAATAATGATTCCAATAAAGATAACATACTCAATCAGACGAGACTTTGTGGCATTTGTCAAGGATAGCCGGAAGATTCTAGCAAATAATAAACAGAAGTACATCCAGTTCGGTTCATAAAAAAAATGCTATCATGAACCGCCCCACTACTGATATAGTTGCCCTGCATTCTGTTATCAAAAGCGTAGGCAAGTCAGCTCATCAATTAACCAAGAAATCTGCAGTCATTAAAACCAGTCCGTTAACCAGGGCCCTGCGCATACATGAATCAGTTCGACAAAGAAAACCAGTTGAAAAGTGCATATTGATAAACAAAATAATTACTAATAACCAGTATTTTTTTCTAACAGTTTTGTCCCTTTCACCAAAGTTTTTGCTAACGAAATGTTCATTCATCTTTGGCATTTTAGCTTACAATAGCGGAAGAGCCCAATTTAACTCTTAACTAACTTTTCTCCATTCTGAAACCCATAACAGAGATAAGTAACAAACTCCAATTGTTAATAACAGAAAAACCGATTCCCCAACAGAATTCTAACTTTTCCTAATTTTCTAACCATCAAATAGAACTTCAAAAAAATTTGTAACTAACTTCTAACAGCTCTAACAGAATTATATAGCAGAAAAAACTCACCTTAGATAACGATTCTTCAATTCTAGAAAAGAAAGCTCCACAAAAATTCTCCCTCTGCACAAGCTCCATTTTGATTCGCTCTACAAATTTCTCACGATTCCTCTGTATTCTCTCTTGTCGGCAATCAGAAATAATAGCTTCTTCCATCTTCATCAACCTATATTCATCCACTACTTCAACACCTCCTTCTTCCATCATCATTCTTCATTCTCTATCTTCATCTTCATCCTCTAAAAAACAGAAAATACCTCTCTCTATCTCTCGGCCTCTTCGACCTTCTCATCATCATCTTCAGCTCTCTCAGCTTCATCTATATTGTCACCTTCTTCCATCTTCAAGAATCTCCTCTCCACAACTGATTCTTTCCACTGCTTCAATATACAAATCGCGTATTTATCATCATCATCATGACTGATTCTTCATATGTTCATCAGTGATTCTATTTAACCTTCATCATCGATACTTCTATCTTCATTAATACTGTAAATCACAGTTATTCGTGAAGCATACACATCGCAAAAAAATTTGAAAGCGGGAGATGTAAAAAGGTTGAATCAAGAGGATCGCGAAGAAGATTCTATGATAAACGAGTTTATGGGGTGATGTATACCTGATTGTCCTCTCGCACAACTTTCTTGGATTTCTCGATACCGACATCATCGTTGAAGAACCACCGGAGTTCTCCGGTAGGTAAATCTCCAATCCTTCCTCATCTTTTTTGTTCCTTCTTCATGCTACGTGAAGCTTGAACCTCCATAAGAATTTCCCCGAGATTTCGTCCTCGATTTAGCCACTGTGTTGTTCGGAGCGAGAACAATAAGACAGAAGTTGCACATTGAGATGAGACATAGATTGAACGATGACGACCAGAGGTTGAATTTGAACCACAACGAAAGTGTGGATTCTGTGGTGAGATAAAGAAGGTAAGGGTTGGAACCACGGTGGCGAAGCGGATCAGCATTGAGAAGAAGAATGTCGCCGCCAATTGCAAACTGGATTTAAGTTTGTCTCCTTTGTGAAGAAGAGGATGAGTTGGATTGCCACACAATTTCTCAACCCTATCCAAGCTCTCCAATACGCAGCGTTTCAGGCTCCTCTTCTTATTTTCCTTTTTTTAATTAATTTTTTTTTTGTATTAAAAAAAAGGATGAAGGATAAGTGTGTTGATTAATAATGTGATGATGAATTGGGCTGGGTGATTATCTAGACCGAATCCTTTCCTTTGAGGGTCCATTACATTTTATTTGGAAGCCAATTGTTGAAGCACAACAAAAAAAACTCTCATGGGCTCAATCTGCATGGGCCTAACGCCTTTGTTGCTGGTTTCACACTAATATCCAGTTATACACCCCATCTGTAGTAGTTTATATTAATTGTTTTGAGTCACTGTTTTTCTTTCCAATAATTTCAGTAGATTTTGTTGATAAAAATATATGAATAAAAAATAGTAGAGTATTGTAGAATTTTTCTAGAATTTCTTTTAGAACTTTGTTTAGAATTTTATATTATCGATTACGTTTAATAATCATTTTGTTTCCGATGCTTCATGCTTCACCTTTTGCTTGTTGAGATCGGGGGTCTTATGCAGGTTTATTGTGCAATTTGTGGATGTGCTTGAGATTTCGATTGTGATTTATTTTCACATTGATGATGCTTCGACGCTTATTCCGAACTTTTGATTTCTGACTCTTTTCTTGGATTGGTGAAGCTTTTGCGAAGATTGTCGGGTTTCTTTGTTTTGATACGCTTCGCTACAGGTTGATATTTGTTTGGTATTTTCTCTCATTTATCGCATCTCGCACTTTATTGCATTCTAAATATCGTGAGAAGTAGGAAATAAAGAGCGTGCGCTCGAAGTCGCTGTTTAAAGACCTGTAGCAGGCATTCCGCGCTTCATTTTCTATATGTGTTGTGCTTGTGTTTATTTCCTTGGTTGTTGATCTATGAGTCACTCAATTTAGGAATTGAGATCACGACTTCTCTCTCAGTGCATGCTCCCTATAGGAATTTATCGCTTTCCTTGATTTCTTGTTGATCGATGAGTCACTCAATTTAGAAATTGAGATCACGACTTCGCTCTCATTGCATGTTCCCTATAGGATAGTTTTTGTTATACTTTCTTTGGCATGATAGCCTAGATAGGATATCTTTAGGTATGCTCTCTTGAGCTTATTGGCTTGCTTGCTTGATTTCATCTTTGTGTGCATGTTTTGAGATGATATATCCTCGGCATGTTCCCTTAGGAGCTCTCGATTCAACTATAGATGATGATTCGAGATAGACATAGTTTTAGGTGATAGACCCTTGCTATGCTCCTTTAGGACTTCTTGATTCATCTATAGATGATGAGTTGAGATAGACATTAGGATTGTTATCCAAGCATGTCAACTTAGGGTAGAGATTTCCCTTTAAAACTCAATTTTAGGATCAATCATTGTATGATAATATTAGGAATAGATTTAGGTTAATTTCCCTTAGATGTCTTTTTTCTTCTTATTTTTGGCATCCTTGCATTAAGACTAAAACTCTTTTTCTTAGCAAATGCATAAAATATCTAATAATTTTTAAATCCTTTTTTAAGGTAAAAATATCAACCAATGCAAACTCTTTTGCGCCTTCGGGCTTTTCTTTCAAACCTTTTTCAAAAGAACCTGTTAATTCACTTTTGTGCTGACGCGTAAATCTCCAAAGACCGAGTTGCGGCAGAAGGCAAATTTAATATTGTTCATTAAAAAATACAAACCAACAAAAATTTTGAAGTCGAACTACGTCTGCTCTGATTCCTTAAAAGGGATACGTAGGTATTGGGGTAGGGCTCGAACGAGCACGACTTTATTTTTTCCCTATATTCTTTTCTCCTTTCTTTTGCATGCATTCTCTGTATAGTTTAGATATAGATTCTTACACACCCATAGATTAGAACAATAAGAGTGGATATTGTAGAGTACTACGGGCGTGTGGGGTGTTAATACCTTCCCCTCGCATAATAGATTCCCTTACCCATATCTTTCGGTCGTTTGATCGTGATTTCACTCTTCTCAGGTTTACTCGATGTTTACCTTTCTCTCCAGTGGGATAAAAAACGTTTGATGGCGACTTCATTGATTTCATTATCAGTTGATTATTCAACCGGTTCACCGGGTTAAAACCATCAGGCCGCTGAGATTTATCGGGGTGTATACAAGGTTAAAGTTTGCATACAATTCCTATTTAGTAATACTCGCTACCAGCTTGGTATTATCCTCCATAGATATTATTGGTTGAATAAGAGCAAGAACCGGTTCATAGTCACCAACATTTGCTTCAAAGAGATTTTCAAAATACCTTTGAGCAATACCGCACAAACCTTCTTGTTGACGAATCTGAATGTTACTTTCATCCACTAACATATCCAACTTTTGAAAATTCTTTCTCACTATGCCAGATCTATGAAAGAATTTGGTGTTACGATCACCACTACACAGTTAGTGCATTTTGGCACGTTGTTTCTAGAAAATCTCTTCATTAATGATCAGATTATTGTGCTCACGTTGCAAAAAGTTAGGTAAGATCACCTTCTATATAAAATGTCTTGGAAACAAAAAAAACCATTATATTATTTAATAAATAATTAAATATGTTAAAATTAAACAGTATCATGTGATTGGTTAAAAAAACACTGTCCAACTTTTTCTAATGGATAGAAAAATTATCCCCCATATTAAAATAGAGTTCAAAATAATTTTTTTGCTATCTCAGCACTTTAAATGCCACCTAATTTAATTTTGGCCAAATCATCTAAAAATATGAGTTGTTATTAGCTAGAATTCATTTTACTTCTTATTCCTACCTCGATCTCTCACTTCTCATTCTATCTTCCACCTTCCTTCAAATCTACTATTATTGAAAATCCATAATCATTTTTTCACCCAACTACAATCTCTCACCTCTCATGTATTACCACTAACTTTATCAATCTATCAATCATGGAGATTGATACACTCATAATCTTAAGTATCAAAACAGTTTATCTTCCGTTATCTTGTGCATTGATTTAGGGTCTAATGCGTGACTTTATTTTTTCATACTCTAATTGGTCAAATTTAACTCAAAATTATCATTTTTAATTGCAAATAATATTCTAACACCTACTTTATAGTATCTCTTACTTTATGAGGTAGATTTATAGATGTAATTTTTACGAAAATTGATTTTGCAATTTAAAAAAAAAAGTAGCTGCATATCTTATTATTCGCCTGTCTTCTATAATACCATTTACTTTACATTCAAATTATATGAATTTCTCAAATTTTGTATGATCTTAAAAATATTTTCATTCAATTTTTATTAATTTCTCTTGCAATCTCTCAAATTATTACAAATTAGAAAAAAGAGATAGTGCACAAATAATATAAAATATTTTACACTGTCGACCAATGATAATTATATAAAATATCAAGTCAAATCTTAAATTTTAAAATACTTTCATGGTATGTGTGTAATATTTTTTTGTATTAATAACTCTACAAATTATGTTTCTAAATACTCCATTATACTCTCCTTGTTTTTAAATGAAATAATGTATTAATGTCTCAAAACTAAAATAGTTTCATAATCTTTCAATTTTTTTCAACGTCACTTTTTTTAAATAATTTTAGACGTCATTTTTGAGTCATATCGTTCTAACAAATTTTGTGACCTTTCAATTCTCATTCGATTTTTATTAATTTCTCTTACATTCTCCCCAATTATTACAAATATTTTTTCATACATTGTAATCTTCCTGTATTTAAACGAAATCATGTATTATATAATCAAGGGCTTGCAATTATATAGTTGCATAAAAGATAAAATTGTTGGTGGGATGATACTTAATAACAGGATGCAAACTATATTTAAATGTGATTTTCTATCTACAGAGGAATGAAATTGTAATATAAGTAATCTTGGATATTGAAAAAGAAGACACGTGCGCTCTATTATTTTTCAACTTTGGTGTCTTAATTGACAAAGAGATTAGTAAATTCTAACACATAATTTAATATTTTTGTAAATAGATTATTTTTTATTTACTTCCATAGAGTTAAAAGAGTATGTTGTCTCTTCATTTATTTCCAATTACTAACAGTTTAATAATTGCATTTAACACATATTTATGTTGACATTATTGGTGCACCACCATCATCATCAAAAGAATATGTCGCCTATCGATTCACTTTTTCAATTACTAACAGTTTAGTTTATCAGTATCTCCAATTAATAAAAATAACAACTTGACATTAAAGAGCAATAAATCAAAATTTTCAATTCCATGAGTAACTTATTCAGAATACTATTTAAATACAAAAAAAAAAACACCATAAAATAAAATCAAATCATTAATTAAAAAAAGTTATTATTAAAAACTGAGAGTTAAATAGAAATAAATGAATATCTAATAATTAATTAATAATTTTTATTAAAAAATATTTTAGTTATAATTAATTATTAAATATTCAATTAATACATTGTATTCATAACTAGAGAAATATATAATATATCCCATATGTAGTACTTGCTCAAGTGTTTATCTAAAATTAACTCAATAATTACGTTGTATGCTTCAAATTATAACAATAGACATATTAATTACTTTTGTATACATTTTTGTTGTCGTTTCAAAATAATTCCTTATAAAAGATTTCTCAAACTTTTTTATATGAATTCATATGATAACTAGTGACATATCCTTGTATTTGTATGTATACCGTTCAAGTACGTTTATTTTATTTAATATTTTTGTTTTTATAGAGATAAATATAATATATAAAAAATATAGTGTAAATGAAATTTTTATGTTTTAAATAAATTAAAAATTTTGTTTTATTCAAATGAATTTATACATAATAATAAAGTGAATTTTTTTTAAAATAGATAATAAATCGGTGTCTATAATTGTCGTAATATATAATCAATAATTTCATGTTATTATTCAATATTTTG